AGGTTCAAGCGTCCCCGAGACTCGTGGGGTATTATCATAAATAACAAAATTGTTTCAAGGCAACTGGGGGGGTACTCTTGAGGTGAGTTTGAAAACCATATCCTGAAACTTATCTTCAAATTCCTCTTCTCAACTTCTGATAAACCAGTTCTCAACTACCTTGAAATTTACACTACATATGGCTGAGAATTAGTGCTTATAATTCATCATTTTCAACTACTGAGTATATCTATTAATATAGACATGAACTTAAATATTTAATTAGTTATTAATCACGTCAAACTCTGATTAACAAACCATTCTGATACTATAATAATAATCTTAATAACAATAAATAATTAGGTAAATAAATAAATAAATAATAACCCATAGAGATTTCAACACTTCCAATAATGCATAATCTTCAAATATCGGATATAACATTTAGGAATACTAAAAAAATACTATAATATAATCTCAAATATCAAAATAATAGAAATATTCACAATTAGCAATCTAAATATATATATATATATATACATATTTATTTTCATTCCATAATCATATAAACCCATTATACAAGAAATTCCATACTAAAAGAACTACGTACTCTTGAAAACAAATATTCACTTATTTACTCATAACCATAGCCGAGCCCAAGGCTCACTTTCACAACCCACCAAATCAAACATCCCATACTCATCTATTCGATTATTTCAATTATCACAATAATATCCAAGAATTCCATAAGATATTATAAACAAGCTCATAATCACAATAATCAAAATAACTCAATTAACGGTCAACATTCGTTTACATGGTCGTGCTAGTACTTTATGAAGGGTGAAATTACCTCGGAAGACTCACAGTCAACCGAGGGTCAAATTGTCCAAACATGATTAGCTGGGCCCACGGGGCCCATGACCTCCAATTTCTGATCCGAAAGTTCCTACAATTTCAACAAGGTTTACTAAACATGTCCTACAAGTTTGGTCCGAATCGAACGGTCGGATTGCTCCGGATCACACAATCAGACGGTTAACGTTTATCTAAACTTTGAATTATTGAATCGGAACACCTGAGGTTCCAATTCACGATATGCAAATTTCTAAACGATCCTAGGAATGCCTAGATCAACGTATATTGAAATGAAGTCGATCCAACGGTCCGAACATATCGAACTAGGATAACGCATAATATGCGATATTTGATCGACGATCAAACAATATCCAAATTCATATATGAGCATACCGTCATACTCAAGACAACATGAGGATGATTTTAGGATTTAAGGACGGGCCAAAAAGTGGCCCACGCGCCGCCACACGCGCTGGCAGCGAGTGGGTGTCCTTAGCAATTTCCGGCGATCGAAAAAACTCTAAACCGCCTACCAAGACTCCCACTATAGGATCAACCCATTGAGTGGAGCAACTTTTGTTCTTGGACCTATCCCAAAAAGTCAACGGAAGTGGCCGAAATCAGAGGCCGAAACCAGCCAAAACTTCAATCGCTTAATCAACCAATTAAACGCAGAAATTTCTCAAAACTAACACAACCAACAGCTAGAACACGTTGAAAGGATACAAAATCATACCAAATTCGAAAGATTTGGTAGCCGGAGTTGTCTGAACAAGCTCCCGAAAGTTTACTAAAAAACTGTCCAACACCGCTTGTTTCATGGCTATTTTCGGTGACCACGACGACGGATTGAGACTAGGACCGGTCGGGAATCGAAGAGGGAAGTGAGGTGGTTCTAACGGGACCGGGGCTGCCAAGAACGGAGGCATATGGTGGCAGTGGTGGAGGAGAGAAGTTGGCTGGTTGTGGAGCTTTTGAGGAAGAATAAGAAAATCTGGGTTTTAAAACTGAACTTCGAAGTATTTACGGTTATGCCACTGAACTTCTTTTGATCGTAACTTTTCATCTCGATGTACTCTACGCAACAGTACAACTAGAATCCCCAGATTCCTTCTAGAACAAAAAGTCAACTTTTAAACCATTAAAATATTTTCGAAGTAAATTCGTCTTTTATTTGAATAAATTAATAAATAAATATGAATTTAGGATCGGGTTGTTACATGATTAGTTTGGTATTAAACCTCCTCCACTTAATAATGGTATTAATAATTGGATTTGTTGAATTTTGAATAATTTGTCTCCTTTTTTTATGAAATAGCGGGGCCAAACACAGAAACTACATAGTAGAACTACAAATCAACCTAGTACAAGAGACTCCTAACCAATCATCAACTATTAAGGAGACTATCCAATCCAGAGCTGAATCAAAAAAGCAAACTCCCATCCCCATATTTTAATGGTTGGAAAGACAACAATCAGTGACTTAATTAACTAATATATTTATATATCAACAATACATACTCTAACGACAATAGGACTTAGAATGTGGTGAACTTTTTTGTTTTCCTCTCAAACAATATGAATGAATGTGATGTGATACTTTTTGTGTGTGTTTTGAATGAGGGCTCTTCTGATTTAAATAAACTTCTGAAACCCTTTCAGAAGAGTTACAACTGTTAAAAAACAGTTATTTAAACTCATCCAGATTAATTAAAAATTAATAATTTGAAACAAAAAAAATTAATTTAAATTTGAAGTGCCCAAATTGAATTTGTAGCCCAATTGGCTTCTACTTTGCCCAACTTCCATTTACTAAGCATAGAGACTTCCACATTTATGAAGACTCCACTTTTTCTTCTTTCTATCAATGTGGGACAAATATCCTTAAATTTCATTCAAATTTCCAACAATACCTCACATTTGCAAGTCCATCAGCCACACAGTTTTTCTCTCCATAAACATGCTGCACCACACAATCCCCAATCTGATTTACAAGTTGCCCACACCCAACAAGTAGGCTAGCACTTGACCAAAAAAAACACAAGTAGGCTAGCAAGAGGGTGGAAATCAAACAAAAATAGGTGGGACGGCTACAGCCGAATCCAAGAAACCATTTCACAATCATAAATACACTAAATATGATTCCTAAGTTCCCCACACCTAACAAGTAGGCTAGCAAGAGGGTGGAAATCAAACAAAAAAAGGTGGGACAGCTACAGTCGAATCCAAGAAACCATTTCGCAATCATAAATGCATAAAATCCAAATATTTTCTTCCAGTATGACTTATCCATGTTCATATGTTCATTTTGGATATGGTTACTTATTTCCAAAAAAAAAGTTATATTCTCTTGCAACCCGACATTAATCTGATAGAGGGGCCGATACCATGCATGTAATTATTGGGGTAGGCATCATGCATTATTGGCACTATTCACTATACAATAATACAAAGGTAGTTGGAGTGTTAGGCAAATAAAATAGTTAAAATAATCATGATATTCTTGAGATGTATACCTTAACTTATGGGAGCTGCTATTATTATTATACCCAAATATATATATATATATATATATATTATGTACTCCTTTTTTATTAAAATAATATGAGTGGGTGGGTGCTACATTTTCCTTCTTTTCTTTTCTTTTTCTATTGTGTTTTATTTTATTGCTTAATTTTACATTAATGCCCTTAAGCAATGTGGTGGTTTCTATTTTACATTAATACCCTTAATACAAATACAACTGTGGGTTAGTAACTTTTTTATTTATTCAAGCGATATTGAAGGAAGGGGGAATTGAACTTAGAACATTAGGTTCATGATATATGTTATTAACAACTTGGGCTACAAACTCCTTGCATTTAGAAAAAAAAAAATGCTTCAAATTTTATTTTTCAAAAAGAAAAAAAAATGTCTCTAATGATTGTAACACAATTACATATCCTCATTTCTCAACCTATGTACATTCTTCTCTCAAATAATTTGATGAGACAATGTAAAGAGGATAAAGATAAAGATGTCTTGACTGTGGGACCCATGTACATTGTTCAGAAATGAAATGAAACTCAACTATTTTATTTGTGAAAATTTTCAAAATACATGTACTTCAAATTATTTGGGTTTTCTCTCAACAACAATAAAAAAATATTTATTTGGGTTTAGATGATTTTTTTTTCTTTTCTTTTGATAGATGCAGTGTCTCTCTCTTCTCGATATTATTCATTTTCTAATTTGGATGTTTGTAGTTGTGTCCATTATGGTCTTACAATCAAATGGGGACAAAACCAAATAATAGTCTTTTATTTTTTAGGTCAAGAACAAATAATTAATGGTCTATATGGATGAGAATTGGACATGCATACTTTAAACATATTCAATATTTATTCTAATTATTTTTAAAATTATAACTCAATTAGTTGAGGTGAAAGAGCTCAACTAAGTGAGTTATACCCCACTGATATACACCGAATTTGATATTCTTTTAAAGTTCATTGTGTATTATAGTTTAAAGATATGAACCGTCAATTTAAAGTATTCTCTCAATTCAAGGACAACTTCTCAACTAGATACAACTACGTACTTAACTGCCGTGAGGTTTAACTAGTTTAATCCAACAGTGAAAGTGAATCCAATTAGTCCCTGCTTCGTGGCTGTTATTGAGATTATTATTAAACAAATATATCCATTCTTTTTTTGGTCCAGATATATCCAAATGTATCCAAGTTGAGTTTGAGTTTTGCAAGTCTCCATCTTTTCAACCATTTGTGGTTTTTTAACCGACTTCAGGCGCCGCCATCTTAGAATGCCACTTTTTTTTTTTGGACATTTCTTATTGAGAATGACGATAGAATATTAAACTCACATACACTACACGAATGCTAATACTCGAACCCATGACCTTACCTTTTTTAAAAGAACAACTAATTGCTGGGTATAATCAGCTTGTGACAATATATTGTGGCATTCATCAAAATTCTAAGCTTATAATACGGACCTACATTATGTACAAAGCCCTGAAATAATATGTGCTAATAATATATTAAAAAAAACCCTGAAATAAAATCTTCTTATATTACAATACGGACCTATATATTATGTACAATGCCAAAGGCATTTGAGGAGAACAATAATATTTTAATTAATGTGGCAACTAATTAAGCCAATTACAACAAGAAATCCATAAACTTGAGCCATGAAAATCCAGTCCTTGAAACTTTCTCTGCTTGTTTTGAACATGAAGCAGACGACGTCGTTCCGCTGCCGCCAGCAGCATCCATTGAGTTTGCGCTTCGGCACAGAAAAAAGTTCCTCGATCCTAACGCCATCAGCTTCTCCTCCCTATCCAAACCTGGCCCCACACAAAAGAGAAAACAATCAATCACCACTAAACACGTGTCTTAATCAAACATAATCACAACCGTCAACTTCATAAGCCCCAAAAGCACATTAAACACTTACTTTCTAAGCTGAACTGAGAGTAATGGAGGTCAAACAACGAGGGGTCGACAGAGGTCAAGATCGGACGGCGACCTTCCTTTCCATATTGTCGCATGGCAGCCGCCACCAGATCTTTCACCGTGGATTCTGGCGGCATTACGACATGTATGGCGCCGACGCTCCCCTGAATCGTCACGTTGAGGAGCAGCTTCATCAGTTTCGGCCGTAACTCCGTGGCCGGTGTCATTCCGATCGTGTTCCTGAACGACGCCATGTCTGGTACCGTTTTTGGTCTCCGAAGCTGCGGCGTCGCCATATCCGAAAGCTGGCCGTGAAACGATGACGATTTCTCATTGAGTGATCTCCCCCTGCGATTCTTCTCCTCGTGGACCCTCCGATGAGTACTCTTCGGACTCGGCATTTTCCGTAAATATAATATCGATTCGGGAACAGAAACAAAAATGAGAACTTCTGCAGCTATTGGTTGAGTCTGGTGAGTAGTTATTACCAGTTTACCTCAAGCGCCGGTATCGGAAGAACCTGAGGCGAGGGAAGCCAAGAGCTGGGGAAGAGCTTTGGCTCTTAAGTTGCCGGTAATTGACTACTATCATAACCGTAATAACCAGAAAACAACTGACGGCAAAAGCGAGATTAGCATGGAGTATGACTTGAGAGCTTGAGGCTTATGATTGAGAAATTAATACAATCCCCCCATGGATCCACGTGTATTTGTGGCTCGAGTTGAGGAAATAAATGTCCCCTGTTTTAAAATAAATAAGCATCTTAGAGATTTCTACTTGCAATTTGAAAGTGTGACAATGAAATAAGGTTAATCTCATCCCAATAAATGGACTCGTTTCATGAAAAATAACAAATGTGTAGCATCATAAGTCACACTAAGTACAAACCCCTCGATAGAGAGATAATTAAAAACGATTGAGAAATGAGTGAGATATGAATATTTCAATCTACGAACTTTCTTTGAGTTTTCTGGATAGATTCGCCGAAAATTTTTTGAGCAATTTGATATTAAAAATTACAGAATCGTGTTTGACATAATTAGAAACATTAAAATGGATTAAACAAAGAAAAACAACAAAATCACAATTTTCCGGTGATCGGAAAACTCATAGAACCGCCGGAATCTGGAAATTGTCATCGGATTTCGGAAAACTTGTTTTAGCTATAACTTTCTCGTTTCTTAACCTTTTTTAGTGATTCAAAAGCAAAAATCGAGGGGTTTTTCATGTAGGTTATGATGGTATAATTATTGCAATCTAAAACATATAATATAAACACGAATTCGAGCAAAAAATATGACGCTGTTAGTTCTTCCATGTTTAATCGATTCTTAAGGCAAAAAAATATAGGTAGGTGTTCATATACTTACAGTAGATGTTTCTGGAGCGATGATGAGGAGGTTGGAAGCTTGGATTTGAATTTGAGCTTCACTGGTGCAAGCAAGAATGGAAATGATATGACTTTAGCTAAACATTTCTCTCAATTCCAAATTGTTTCTCTGAGAGTTCTTTCGGTGGATTGTAATCTGCAATGAGCCGAACACGGGCTTCTGTTTTATAGGCAAACAACTACGCGGTGAAAACAATTTTGGTCATGATTTCAAGCTTAATTAATTACCACCACATATGAGTTCTGTCTATATCACCGCTTTTTTCTTTTCTTTTTTTTTCCTTTTTTTGAGGTATTGTTCGGCGTCTATGGTAGGGCATGAGTTTAATGGACTTTTACAGTTTTACGATTTACCAACAGTAATATAGTAAAAAAAGAAGAAGAAGAAGAAGAAGGAAAATGCATGATTTCTTTACCAACAGTAATTTATAAAACATCTTGCATACATGTATTACCATCATAGATTTCATATCAATCTTCTTAACATCAGCCATCTTGATCTAATCAAAGTTCTACTTAAGTCAATGATGGACTTCTGATAGGTAAAACAACAAATCAAAGATATTCGTTATCTTTATTTAATAATGGTATGTTTACGTATTTGAAATGGAAAAAACTATCGATCGGAAAAATCAAGAATATTTTAGAGAATTAATGGGTATAAAATTATTTATTTCCTCTAATTAATTTAATTCAATATAAATTACAAATTTTAACGTGGAATTCACATACATGTACATAAAGTCGGCCATAGCCGTGGAAGGATGCGGAATGTTTTCTCTTTTGGCCGGCATTTATTTTGTGAGGTGGAGTGCTATTTTTGTTTCCATCCGCATATCTATTCTTCTGCGAAATTCCATTGTTCTATAAGAATGTGACACGCGTACATATTATTGTTCTTTCTTTTTTCCTTTTTTGTTTGTTTGGCAAATACGTAACATCTTTCACGCGTGCGTATGATCCTTTCTTTCTTAAGGAACTTTTCTTATGATAAGATCACGTCGTCATTATCACTCCATTTAAAACTCACCAAAATACATTATTTTTCCTCTATTTTTTGGAACATTTTTTTTTTCCCACTATTTTAATTTTTAACTCAAAGTGTATTTTCAATATTCTTTTTAACACTTGACACATGTTCATATGCACAATTATGATTCCATAAATACCAAGTAAAAAGTGAACTATGGTTATGCATATGAACACATGTGATGAAATGAGAATACACCTTGGATTAAATGGTGACAAAAAATATTTCCTTGTTTTTTTAATACAAATTATTTGTTTAATTTATGGTGTGAATACTTAAATGGTTAAATTGGCGGGGTATAATTACCCAATTGGCAGTGATAATATCCCATCGATAATTAAATAGTGAATGGTGCTTAGCGAATGAACACCTGTCCAAACAATTAAAAAAAATTAAAAAATCTTGGATTGTGGTCGGGTGGGGCTCTTACCTCTTGGTTTCATTTTTATTATTATTTTATTTTAAATTTTTTGGATATGGGTGACTAACTCCAAATTATTAGAGATATTTAGTCATATACCAATTCTTAGCACTAATAATATAAATAAACCCTACACCATTTAATTTCTAAAAAAAAACCCCAAAAAAAAAACCCAAAAAATGATAGCTGGCCCTATTGAATTTAATTTTGAGTATTAAATTACTTTGATGCCTTATTGAGTGTTGGTGTTTTGGGTATTTTTTTTTTTAATAAGATTTTGGAGTTGGGTTTGTTTTAAGAAATCAATGGCAGTTTCATAATTTAAAAGAAGTTAAAAGCCTTTTTATTATGTTATAAATGGGTTTTGAGTGTATTTCTAAAGTCCATTTTATATAGGATTTTTTTTATAATTTGAACTCCTATATTGAATATAATAGTGAATCTCCCAAATAATTATAGCTTTGATTAATAATGCCACGAACTCCAATATCAAAGGTTGTTAGGTTGGTGCCAGAGGCGGGCCTACAGATGCCGGAAATCCAGTGAAGAGGCTAGATTATGCACCTCTGCTGGTCCCAAGGTTCTGCATATGAGGTGTGTTGCAAGGGTTTCAAAACAAGGAAGATGACTTGGGTTTTCTGTTTTCAATTTTTTGCAGCACAAACGACGTCGTCTTTGTTATCCTCCAGCTCAAAAGGCGTTTAATGAAACGGGGAGTATTGATTGAAGCAATTCTGACTTTCGGCAAATTACCACTTTAACCATCTTATTATCCTCTAGCTCAAAAAACCTTTTAATTATCCCATAATCAATTAACCATGTGAGCAGATTAGGATTCAGTGCAAATTTCAGTGCTGATGGGTTAGTCTTGAAGATATATTTTATGGGGTAATATTTCTTGTGGCTTTTACAGGTTATTATTTGTCACTTTTATTTCTCATTATTATTGCTCACTTTTATATTTTGGGATTGCTTATTTTGCGTAGATGAATAAGTATGTATATTTAATTACATTATACTAATTATTATGCTTAAATATTAATTAGTAAATTTATAAATTTTTCTTGTCAAAACAAAAGCACTCACTCCCTTTCACAAAAAAAAAAAAAAAAAAAAAAAAAAAAAAAAAATAAAATTTAGGTTTTAGCCAAAAAAAAATTTCACTTTTGGAAAAAGCCAAAGCTTTTTCAAAAAAGACAGAAAAACCTCTCAACTTTCAAATCAAAGACATGCAAATGTAAATGATTCCTTAGGAAATCCAAAAATAAATAAGGGCAATTTTGTCCTTTTTGGCTTCTTTTACAAAATTTCTCTCTCCTTTGTGTTTTTCCAAAGTCTCCCCTGTTATTTTTTTCATCAATTATGAATGACATTAGTATTGTTTAAATTCTATAGATATAGTTGTCTAAATTTTGTTTTCAAATTTTTAATCTTTTAAATATTGCCCCTTCTCTGAAAATTTTCTAGGTCCGCCATTGGTTGGTGCTTCATTCCATACATTGTGACAAAAATGATTTTCTCATTTTTGATTGGTTAGTTGATGATAAATTCAAATCATATACTTTTATTTTGGTTATTTTTATAAGCACACATGTTATATATATCTAGGGTAGGTGACATCCACCAAATCATTGAAGCGAGTGATGGAGCCCAAAAGAAGACAAGAAATTGAAGGGAGGTATCTCTAGTGCAGGTGGATCCATACACGGCTAGCCATAACCCAAGCAAACCAAACAAAACACGTGATCAAAAGAGCCAAGTCGCAGTCTCAGCAGATGCAGAAGGGAGCACGCATACTCGGACTCAATGTTCAATATTGTTCGTATTCTAAAAAAAAATATTCAATATTGTTCATTTTTCTAAGTGGATATTAGGTTTGTAGGTTTTTTTTTAAAATACGGAAAATAAAATTACAAAGTAAAATTTCTTGGACACGCAGACTCAAAGAAGTCAAAAAAGAAAGCATTTGAAGAAGACAACGACAACTTGGGACTCCCACACCCTAGACGGAGAACGTTCGTGACCCAATCCCGCAAACGAATCTGCCGTGAAGTTAGTTTAGTCTTACAATTAGGTTTGTAATTATGTTCATTATGGTCTTACAATTAATAGGGGACAAAAAAAACAGTAGTCTTTTATTTTTTGGGTCAAGGACAAATGATTAGTGTGTATGGATGAGAATTTTACGTGCGGGAATGACCAAAAGACCAAAAGACCAAAAGACCTCCCTCTCTATTATTGATTTATTTGTTTGTATGGATAGTGACGTAACTCTTTCTATTGGTGTGGTGTCCACTCTCATGCATGAATCCTGACCAGTTTTTTGTGTCTACCACTTGGAATATTATTCAACATTTATCATTTTATTTTACTTATTTTTTGTGTGGCGATTATGTAACCGAATTTTTATGTATTTGGATTTGTTTGGTAGGATTGGTATGGATATCTTATGATGCCGTGCTTAGACAGGCTTGGACCGTTAAGTAGTGCCAAGTTCGAGTTTAAGCAAATTGAAATCATGTTAATTAAGTACATGCATGAGACGTGTATGATTTGGACAATTTCGAAGCATTTGATGTATCATAGTCGAATTCGGGTGCAAGATGTGAAAACACATTCTTTTGCCAACTAACCTAATCCACATATTCAATTATGGTGAAATTTAACGAGTTTAACCAACTGTGCAAGTTTATGCTGAATGCGACTTAGCTTGACTTCGGGAGAAGTCTCTATCTTTTCTTTTGGACCACTTTTTGGTTCTAAAATTAGGGATTGTGATTGGGTTTGGGTTGCAACTTGCAAATTTGCAAGCGCAGCCATCTTGGAAGGCCGCCACCATTTTAAATGGTCGAGACTGAAGACCAACTAATTGCAGGGTTAAATTAGCCTGTGGCAATATTGCGGGATTCACCACAATTTAGGTGAGCATGAGACTGTTTCTATTAAATATTATCAAATTCAGTATGCATCAATTGGAGGCTCTAAGTATGCATTTGGGTGTTCCATTAAAAAAGAAAAAAGAAAAAAGGAGTATGCATTTGGGTGAAGGATTTATGATCTATTTCGGGAGTGCTTCTTATAAGTGATTTTACTAAACTGTTTTTATTAGAAGCATGTTGAAATTTTTATTAAATATCCAAGCACATCATGGAAAATCACTTGAAAGTGTTTCGTTATGCTTCTCACTAAAAAGTAATTTCATATTCTATCAACACTTCTAATTTTTTCGGCCAAATCCTGTTGTCAAATGCGATTTCGATTATATTAAAGAACCTTTTAACCATTTAAAAATTGTAGTGCCAAATAGTTACCTTAGATTTGACCAATTTATATTATAATTTCCCTTTTACCCTAATCATAAGAGCCTTTCCACCGCTGCAGCCCAGCCCGAGGCTAGGGGGGAAAAAAAAAATTGGCGTTCTAGCAGAGCAGCCCAGGCCCGGGGGGGTGTGGGACCCACCTCCTCGGGCTGGCCCGAAGGCAAGTTCTGCCTGAGGTCCAAAACGAGGGGGGTTATTGTAGCGCTACAGTATCTGCTACAGTACCCCGCTACAGTACCGCGCTGATTTGATTTTTTTCCTGTTGCCACGTGGCGTCGTCTGGGCTCTCCGATCTGATTTTTTCCTCCAATCCAACGGCAGCCAATTTTTTTGCAATAAAATACTGGAAAAAATTCGGAAATTTTTTTAAAAAATACCCAAAAATTAATGAATTTTTTTCTATAAATACCAGCCTTTTTTTTAAATTTATCTTAAATTTGAAATTGAAAATTTTATCCGATTATGAGATATGAATAGTATTGACACGTAGGAACCCGAAAATCTTATCCGAAAATATTATCCAAATTAATTATTGAGGTAAAAAAAGTTGTGAATAAAACAAAAAAAATGAATAGTAACTGCCCTTAGCAAGGGCAACGGGTGAAAACACAAAATTCGGATTTTGCAAAGGCAATCACTATTCACGTGAATAGTGGCTGCCCTAGCTCCCCCCTTGCCATGGCTAAGGGCAAATGGGTGGAGTTGCTCTAATGTTTGACTGCCCTTTCCAATTGAGACGGACAAGGCAGAGAACTTATGAACTATCCCAGACCCAACTAATAATAATATGTTATTCTATTGACAAGTATGCAGTCAAATGTATCCGAAGCCAAACATGGTAATCCGAGCATTCTCTTCTCTGCAATGCACATGAATTCCTAAGCTACCTAACCACAATAACTTCCCAACTAAACTTGCAACTGAGGCAGCATCTCCAACACTACAACATGGAAGGTATTGTCTGGTTGCAACATTGTTCATGTTGCTTGCATTAGGTTGCTAATACAGATAAATCTTCAACCTAAAAAACCTAATAGCTGCCTGCCAGTCATAAGCATGAGAAATATTCAGGTGCTTGTTTGCAGAAAAGCAGGAAAATGTTTGTAGCTTGAAATATTTACCGAAACGGTAACCTTAGTTCAAGCTACAAACAGAACTGCAAGGAAATGCAAAAACTTTTAGAACACCAGCACAATAGAAATAAGAGCTACATTAACCTTCCTCCAATATCCTTATTCATCCAAATGAGATTCAGATACAATAAAATTAAGAATTACAAAATACAATAACAATGAAAATGTCACTACACATACACTCTTGCCCTCTTCACGACGCGTACAAGACATTTGAACTCAAAGCATCTTTATCTTCATTTCCTCTTTTTTCTTTTTTCCTTTTTGGGGTTTGGAGGGAGAGCCTCAAGTATACTTATAAAATTTAGCTAGAAAAAGAATGTGGCGCTTACAAAATTGACCGTCTTTCAACGTCTTAGAGTACCAAGTATTATGTTAACAAGGGAGAGAGCGGCTCACCATGTATAGTTTCTTCATGTGGTTCAAAATAATACACTGGGGTGTGGAAAGACAGAATACTGTCTGATTCCTTCTCTGGTGCTGCATGCGGCCACCTATGGTTTCTTGATCTCGACTCCTTTGGGCTTATTCTGGTATTCATAGAAGCTGAATGAGGTGAGCATATTTGAGATATGGGCCTCAGCTGACATAGCCTCCCATTTGAGGAGGTTTTGGCTTGGAAGTTAAAGTGTCGTTGTCTTGTGGCTTTCAAGTTTACTTTTGGGCCAACCACTGGAGGGAAAATGACTGAATCAACTGCTTTCAAGAGGGAACTAGAGGCTTCACTGCATGAGGAAATAGCTGCCTTTGGCATTGGTCTACTATTTTTCCATGACAAAAACGATTGCTGTAGCCTGGATGGAACCTGCAAAGCCGAAAAGTAGACATAAGAACTAGTTCTGAATCGACATGCATCACTCAAAACTAAGTTCTCTTACTCTGGTTTACCGGCATTTGGATCTATAACAAAATATCGAAAACATACATTCATACTGAATTAAAATCTTTACAAATTTGAGAGGCATAATGTTATGTGTCTAACACCAGCCTGTGGTTTCAAATACAGATTATCATGAAAAATGCAGTTGATACCAAATAAAGCGATTGCACCACTAGGTGTGCCAGTAACTTTCAACTTATTCAGACAAACAAGAAGGGTATGAAGAAAAAAATAAAATAAAATGTTGATCAAACCCATTAAACTTTTGGTTTAGGTTCTTTTTTTCAGAATCTTAAGAATTGGGAGATAGGAAATTAAATTTTAAATACTATAAGAGTGTGGGCACATCATTAGATGGCTGTACCCTTAGCTATGGTAGTCAGATGAATTAAACTTTCTAAACACAAATTTTATTCGGAGACCAATCAACTCATTGCACAACTTTACATATCCATTGTCTATTCTATATGAATTCTCTTATTATGGTTAGGCGTTGTGATTAATTTCATAGGAGCAGTTTTACACATGGGAGGATGATAAAGTGAATATTTCCTACAGACAATCATGTAAGTAATCAAGTTCTACAGCCTTAAATGCAAATATTAACAGTCCTCACCATAAACAAGATACAAAATCAAATAGAGTAGTGAACTAACCAGTTAAAAAATGAATTGTTATCAATCAATATAATAAAAACTAACTCGATCTTTATCATGTAATATATAAATGGCTATATTGTACTGTACATGTACATGTACCTGAACAATTAATATATAAGCTTATGATTTCTACTCTAAAAATTATAAAGTACTTCTCATTTAAGTTGCTTGGTGATGCAGGAAAGGAAAATAGTATGATTTTATTTAAAACTATGACATTATTTGGATGTGATAGGATAAATTTCCCCACTGATGGAGTTAATGACATTGATTGGCTAGGGCTTACATTTGCTGTTAATCCAAGGCATTGGATGCATATATCATAGCATCACAAGCTATTATCTTCAATGATGCTGACTTATCACAATGATTTGATGATATAAAAACCCATAAAAAGAAAATTGTTGAAATAAAAATTCAGAACTCACTCCAGAGACGAAGCTACTTGAAGCAAATGCCAATGAAGCTGTAGAAAATGGAGATTTCCCAGGTTTGTTTCCCTTCTGACCATTTTTAGTAGCATCCTGATCTGCCGTTACAGACCCAAAACTTGATGGTGCAACATCATCCTCATCTTCTTCTTCCTCCTCCTCTTCATCCTCTTCAACTAAGGGTTTCTCATCTTGGTTAGCCAATGCAGAAGTATCTTCTTCCTTCTGCAAACCCATTTCCACCTTCTCCTCCTCTTTCTCTCTCCTCTTCAACTCCTCATCCATATCCTCAATGACCTCTTCCAGTCGCAGCTCAGCCTCTATAAGTTCAAGTTCTTTTTCAATCAGCTTCATCTTCATCTCACTAGCTTTCCTTTTCTCTTCAGTCCATTTCTCTACTTTATCCAAAACAGGCTTGCATGCATTTTCCACGCCTGATACAAGACGCATCCAAAAGTTTTGTTTCTTCACACCAATATTTTTTCCATAGAACTCGTCAAAACCAAGTGGTAGGAACTGCGCCTTCTTTGGGTCGACATCTTCCCCTTCTTTCAGAGGCGGCTGCCAAAATAAGCGAACCCCATACTTTTCATCATAGATATAGTTGATTAACCGTCCAGTTCGTGTGTGTAGGATTAGGGGATCTTCAGTATATACAAGCTTTGATGGGTCTGCAGGATCAGGCTCTGGTTCCTTGTTGATTAGAACAAATTCAGGAGTCTCATCTGATCAAATGTAACATAATTTTAGTATCAGAAGTAACTTTGTCCCTTTTTGTGGAAGAACAAACCATGCATTGATTTGCTGATTATTTGGACAAAAGCATAAGATAACCTAAGAGAAGTAAGAGAACACTAAACTGAATTATGTCAAGAAGCCACCAGCCAATGTGGCCAGGTGATACCTCTCAAACTTTAAAGGGGGAATACAAAGGATTCGTGATACTGGAGATTTTTGCGTGTTGGGGAGAGCTATCCCACAATGTGCAGCTCACTTCAGAATTTCTTTTTTGATAAAAAAAGAAAAAAAAAAAAAAAAAAAAAAAAAAAAAAAAAAAGAAAAAAAAATGATGTGTGCTTGGATTTGGATGTGCAGAGCAAATTCTTGAAATGAATGCGAGGAGGAGGATGAGGGGTATGGATGATTTAATTATTACCCTTTGACCACCAGTATTCAAGCTCAGCAGGCATAGGTATCCTCAATGGAGCTTTATAGAAGGAGTTCAACCACATTTCCCTTTCTTCATCGACCTCATGCACATAAGTTTTCCAATAATCAGGGACCTGAAAAAGAAGTATAAGTACTCAATTTCTTAAACCTGATATATCCTTAATCCTGATGTAAAACAATTTCTCCAGTCATAAATAATTGATTGTAACTTACTTCATAAAACTGGTTTATGAAGCCTGGTGCCATCCAAACATCTTCGTCTTCATAGAAATAAGGATGTTGAGGATCACTATACGGGCCCCTCTCTTCCCTGACCACTTTAAAGGACAAAATTCCATTGTCATGAACAAAGGAGAGATCATAGAGTACACAAAAAAGCTGAATGGATCTTATGATAAACCAGATCAGCGTGATGTGAAAATTCATAATAGTAATTCAAAGTTCCTGGGTAAATAAATATCCAAATAAACTAAATCTTCATATGATGCGAGCCAGATATTCCACAAAAAAGATGGAGTAAGCCCCCAAAGAAGTGCTTTAATCAAACAGAGCAAAACATATGCACACCTATATGGGGATGTTGAGGAGCTACTGGTATCTCTTGACTAAAACTAATTTCAAGTACATTCTATTGTGTGCTGAACCTCTATAAGACAACTTGTACATGCACATGATTCCAAGAATACATATCCTAACCAATACGCAGATGACTTTCCTGACCTACTATTGTAAACATTATAGTGCATCATTCTGCTTTAACCTCGGGTTAGGAACTTCCAATTTTTAAAGTTGAGTTAAAATTTCAGTGTCTAGAAGATACATTAATTTGCAACCTAATATCTCCTTAGGAAGGCAGTTATTACTGGCATTAAAGAAACATACTTCCATCAGGCTTGTTCACAAACATCCGAGCCTTAGCAGCAGCCACTTCTGCAATACCAGCATGCAGCTGAAAAGGCACCAAAAACATTAGATATCTTGGTACAGATGCGCTACATGACCTTTTTATTTTTCATTCAAGTATAATAAATGAAAGAATGAACATATATTGTTACCGCTGAGACATCCTCATCACAACCAGTAGAATCCTCCAATAGCTCCCCAAAATAGAACCTACCCTGCATGCAAAGAGAAGATAAAGTACTTAATAACAATAAAACAGTATCAAGTTAGATGCAAACAAGGGAAGATCTTTCACATGATTTGGTGCCCGATCTTATTGGGATCCCCTATAGGCTGTTTTAATCACTTTGTAATGTGATGCTACAAATTTAGTTTTAACCCAGCATCACCAAAGGGTATACTGGCAATTCCCAGGTTTGTTGGAAATGGGCTGTCGTTGTAACCCAGGGATCTCAATTTGGGTCAATAGATGTTATTAGGTCCTTATGTAAGTCTTCAGCAGCTTACAACTGGTCTATTACTTCTTTCTACATCGGGGGAAGGGAGTGATAATATTAACATTAGGAGTAGCAAAAATTAAGAATGAAAATTCAATGTCAATTAATAACGGTCGTTTGAGTTTACAGGAATATTGACGAGCATATCAATTCTGTAAAGGTAAACGGAAACTATAGATATTTGCTTAAAAGAAAAAGAAATGAAGATGTAACTTGGAGAAATTTAAACCTAATCAATGATGCATGAATTACAATATACACTAGTAAACTTCATAAAGTAGTGCAAAAAATAGAGCGCAACTGGTGACAACATTGACACCAACTCTATTAACTCTATTAAAATAGTGTTGATGCCACTGTATCCCATTACCATACATTTACTGTGGACTGCCTACTGTTTTTTACTTTTCAATTTTAAGGAAACCATTCACATCTTGCAAACAATTATTCGCAGACTTGAATGTCTAGAGAAATTATTTAAAGAGTGTGATGCAAATATAGTAGAGATCTGTTGTCCCCAAATTTGTATGTCCCTATGTCTCCTAGTTGTTTTGGCCACACATGTCCTTAACAGCTCTCGTATTTTTATAATTTATACTGCGTCTTCTACCCATTTTAGAAAATGAAAACCCTTCCTTCTACAATCTCTTACTACCCCATACTATGGTCATCATATCTACATAGTAATATTTCTCTATTCTTTTGACCTCTTCAATATATCAACATTCACTACCACATATTCAGTGAATTAATAAAAAGAAATGGCTTATAGCTCATGGAAATACATAGATGGGGCGCTCGTTGACTTCATATACACCACATCCATGCATTCTGGCATGCTTCCATTGTCCAGCATAACGATATCGACCTTTCTCCCTGACATAAAAAGACAATCATCAATAAAACCGCAAAACCGGTATCAGGAAAAAGAGTACATTTATGACTTGTGGTATAAAGGCTTGCAAAAGGTTTCATTGAATTGTAAACTAAAATTATGAATTTCACCTCTTCTGTTTAGTAAGCAAAGATGCTAAAAACTTACTACTCTATACTGGCATCTTTAAATTACAAACCAACAAATGCAGACACTAATACTAAATAAGACAAAGATTTTTAAAAAAAAATGTTTATTCTGAAGTCATGGCAATCACCCTATCCACACTTCCAGACTAAAGGGTGTCAGGGACTATTTCAGCATCCACCTAGTTGCTCGCATGTGCAACCACCTTGTTCTGGCATTCTTGGTATTATCAGAATAAGATCCTAGGGGGCTCATAAGGAGTGGAAGTGACATCCTAACTCAGGAAGGAACTACTTAAGGAGCATGAGCTCATTGACCAACTACCTTACTTGATTTTACTTGATAACGCATACAAATATCAAGATAACATATTAAAAAACAAACCAATCTTCCAATCTTAGGCATATTAATTAAAATTAATCTGATTATAAACAACAGAAACTAAAAATAAATTTTTTTTAAAAAAAAAAGACATACGGTTTCCTCCCAAATTGCGTGATCCAGTCATCTCTTTCATAAAAGGGTACTTCATATTGCCCCCCTGCTTGACGAATGCTGTCTTCGATATCCATCTCCAGCCATTCCTTGTCTTCTGGGGTCATATAATCTCTCGATATTATGTGCCCCTCAGCACGCATTTCTGCTTCAAGCCTTGAAAGAGGGTAACAAGTAACTCAATTAATTTACATTACACGGAAGAAAAAATCTTGAGGCACTGCTATGATATGGCACCATAGATAGGTAGGACATAAACTTACTTGGAACCTGGAATAGGCTCTATATCAGGTATATCGACTTCAACAACCCCATGACCCTCCATGTTATTTTGAAGCCATTCACCTTCATACCTATGAAAATAAAATAAAATTTATTTTCGAATAAACCAGAGTGACAAAGTTGCAAGCTAACCAAACTACTAAGTTTAGAGTTTACACAAAGGAAAAAACCCTCCACAGTTTTAGCGGGAGGGAAGTTATAATAGAACCATGCTTAAGGAATCACACAACACCCAAGCTCTAACAGTATACGAGTCATATCTGGATATTCCATTACAGTTAAACACAGACTACATGACATTATTTTTTTTTTTTTTTTTTTTTTTTTTTTTTTTTTTTTATAAGTCATTTTTGGCAAAAATCATATTCCCAGTTTCATTCTTCAAAATGAAATACTTTCTTCGTAAGATATTGAACTGAAAATTACTCCAACCCCACATAAAGGCACCAAGGACAGAGTTGATGAAGTCTTTGAAACAAGCTTTCTATGAGTTCTTGAAATTTAGGATACTTCTGCTGCGTTGGTTAAATTTGAACCTAGGGGCAACCCCAAGTAACCCACCACACCCTTGACCACCAATGCCAATAAGGCCAGGATTATTAGGCTACTAATTACTAAATTCATCAAATTGGGTTGTTTTCTGATTTGCATCATTTTTTTCTGACCATTATAAGAAAACGATGACATCTACATTTCGTTAAAAATAGACAAACCTGACCAGTCCCTGTTCAGCAACATAAACTCCTTTTCCATGAGCCAAGTCATCCCACACAGTGCCCTCATACCTTAAACAAAGACAATCATAAATTAAGGTGATAAGAAATATGATACTTTAAAGAAAAGAAAAGCAACAACTTTTAACATTAAAAAGTGTAGACATTTGTAGAAATTCAGAGAATGAGCATTGACCATTTCTCTCATGTATGAACTAGGTCACAAAAACAATGGAAACAAGTGCCAAACACAAACTCTAACATAAACTCTATAGCCCCTTTGTAGCCTGCTTAAATGATACTTATCATAACATAAATAAATTCCAATGTAGTAAAGAAAGAAACAAAGACATACGAGCTTCCATCAGGGAAAACATAGCTAACCCATTTGAGAAACTCCTCAATCCTATCCAACTCTTCAATCACAGCTTTGGGATTGGAAATGTCATGATGGTCATCCGGTATAGCTGGGTAAGGCCTCCGGTAGGGGACGTAAAACGGAGCAATGGGCGGGTCTTTGCCAGCCTTAATCTCCTCCCTGACAATGTCCCACTCCTCCTCATCAGCCCAAACCGGGTCCCAGCCGGGTTTGGTCATCTCCAATGGAGCATCACCCCATAGCTCCTTCAAGTCCTCCTCTCTCCAATCCTCCGGGTCCTCCGGAAAATCAAAGAGGTCCTCGTAAAAAACGTAGCTTCTGTCCTCCTCCTCTTGCCTTCGCCTCACCCTCTTGCCCTGGAGGACCTGCGAGAACAGCTTCACGTTCACGTCGGGTGTGTTATCGGACTCGGGTAGTTCTTCGCCGGGTCGGATATAGTTGAGTGTGTCGTCCGCTTCACCACCACCGCCACCTCCTTCTCCTTCGTACTCGGATGACTCGTCCGAGTCGTACTCGGACTCTGAGTCTGAGGAGAGATTTTCTTTTTCCTCATCTGGGTCGGGGTTTGGGTCGCTTTCTTGGTCTTTGAGTGGAGACTCGGTGGGTTTTGGTGAGTCTTGGTTTGGCATTGTTCTGGGTTTTAGAGGAAGACGAAGAGGAAGAAGAAGATAAGGTAGCTAAGCAAAATGGGAGAGCAGGCCAAGCAGCAGCAGCAGCAGAGAGGGACAAAACACAGGGTTTTTGGTGTTGTCTACAATAAAATTCAAAAACCGAAAAAGGCAAAAAAATATGAAAAATTAAGTGGCCCAGTTTCTTTCAGGCTTTAAATCTTAGCCCATATATCTAAAACTTGTCTTTGGGTTAGGACGTGGTTCTAATAGCCAACAGGCTCAAAAACTGCCTTCATTCCTTTATATTGTTCTATCTTTTCCATGACTTATGTATTTATTTATGTTTTCTCTGCTGATGTTTTGTTTATAAAAGTAAAAGATATATTTCGAAATGAAAATGAGTGTTTTTGATACAAACGATATTTTATTTTAATTTAATCTAAACTATGGAGAGGGGGATTCGAACTCGCATGCAGAGTGGGAAACACATCTGCTCTAACTAACTTGATTACTCCTAGAGATGACAATGTGTCGAATCAAGGGTGGGTATGTCATTCACATCTTCATCCCCGTTAAGCATTCTTCCTCCATCCCCATCTTCATAACCGCAATATTCAATTTGGGAATTCCCCATTCCGGCCTTCGTTGGGGAACAAGTTCCATGACCTACCCCATTACAAATAAAAAAACTACTTTGTTGAATGAGAAAAAAAGCACTATGAGCACAACATATGTATCAATTCAATTTTATTAACTAAAAATCTAGACTATTAAAAAAAAAAAATGTCAAAACAACATGTCCAAGACATGATCATCATTATATAGGTAGCAAGCACCATCATCACACATTTTAATAATATTTATGTGCAAATAAATTATATATATTGTAAACGGGGAGGGTTCGGGTCGAAGATTAGAATATCGTCCCCACCCCTCCTCGAACTCTATACCCGAAAAATTCCCCAAACCCATCCCTATCCCCTTTTTTTCTTCATACTCAACCCATTAAGATCGAAGCCTTGCGAAGACCCTTACCCACAGGGAAAATTGTCATCCCTAATTACACTCATGTCACTAGAAAGAAAAAAAAGAAAAAAAAGAAAAAGAAAAAAGGGCAGTAGTCACCTTTTCAAAGTAACTAATTTAGCCAACAAAAAAGAAAAAGCAACTAATTTAGTTTTCGTGACATTTGGATAGGTGGTGTGCTCTCTTTGTTCTTGTTGTGGGGCTAATTCGTTGGCGTTGCTTGGGGCTTGCGATATGGGCTTTATGTCCTAAGAGCATCCATAATGGGCTCCATAAACCACCTCCTTAGACAAATTTTAGGGAGGAATGATAAAAATACAACTCCAACGACGCTCCCTATCCACCTCCTAAAATAGGGAGTCCTCTAGGAGCTCCTAAATCTGAGGAGAGAGAAATGACTGCTAGTGGCTTCCTATAATTTAATGCTGTTTTATTTAATGAGTATTTCAAACTTTTATTTAATGTTAACCATTTTTTTATTTTATTTTTTAATAGAGATGGACCAATGAAAAAAGAGTTATAGTATTTATGACTCTCCAAATTAGGGAGTATGGTTGGAGTTGAAATTTTTTAGAGAGCCTAAAATAGCTTTCTTATATTCTTAGCCAAATTTTAGCTAAGAAATAGAGAGCATCATTATGGATGCTCTAACTTCGGACTCACGTTTAGTCCCTTCTCGGAGTCGGCTGTTGGTGTTCTTGTTTTCTTTTAGCTATTGGTCTGTGTGGTGGTGTCACCCTCTGCTCAAGCCAGTCGCAAGGGTTTTGGTTTGGATCTGGATCCGATTGGGTTCTGGTTTTTTCCTTTCCTCCGTCGTTGATTCAGGTAGTGGTACCCTTGGATTGTATAGCCTTTGTGCGTTCTAGGATCTTCGGTGTTGGGCATGATTTTAAGCGGCTAGGGTTAATGGTTGTACTCACTGTTCCTCTCTCGACGGGTTCTATCGTGTTGGGGCTTTGGGATCCTAGTGGTGATCGAAATTTTACTGTTGTTGAGCAATTTATCTACATAGACGAGTTTGCTATTAAGGTGATGGAGGCCAACCTCGAGGGGTTTCCCAATTTTCCTTGGTGTGTTTGCCGGAACGCTTGTGGGCTTGGCATCCGATAATTATTCCCATTATGATGTTCTTCTGTTTGAAGTTTTTTGAGATTAGGTATAGTTACCTTGTAATTTCAATGCATTTGAGTTTCAAGATTGGACCTGATCTTGATTATTGGGGTTTACATGGCAATGATGGATTTTGATCCCATGAGTTCTTGAGTTTTTATGATCCAAAAAAAAAAACTACGAGCACCAATTTGTTTACCAATTTTTTAATACCAACACATGTGGCATATGACATGATAACCCATGTCATTTGTTTTAATTACATATTTTGTTCCAAAAAAGAATTTCATCTAGCACAAATAAAAAATAAATATAAAAAGTGCTGTTAAACGAACCCTAAAATTAACTGAGTACACTCTACTACTAAATTATTTATTAATTTATTAATTTATCCTAATATAAAATGACCAAAAAGGATATATTAAATTGTTAAACAAATGTAATTTTAATAAGCACACTCTAATTTTAATAAGAAAAGGCCACGAAATGGCGAAGCCATGAGAGAAACAGGCAGACAAACACTTATCAACCTCCATTGCTTCTCAAGCCTCCTCTTCCCTCCAATAATACCAAACCCACTTCAAAAACCACCACCATCATCAACCACCCAGGCTCTTCTTGGGTTTAAGGCCCTTTCTTCTTCCTCTTCCTTCACCACTACCACCATTTTTCAGAAGCATAAAGCATCAAATATCCCAATAAAGACTCAAAAGATTCTTGAGCAGTTTAGACTCAGAAAACTCAAACTTTTGCAAAACTTTTGCAATTGTATTAGGTTCAAAGTTACAAAAAGCATGCTTCTTATATGGTATTTGTGTTGTAGTTGCTAAGACAAAAAGAGAAGGTTCAAAGACAAAGTATCCACAAGCTCCTATGTACCAGTACATGATACATCGGTAGGGGAGCCTAATAGGAAACAGATTTTATCCGTTGCCAATGCAAAATTTTAGCATAATGAACTCTCACAATTAGGTGGAAGCACACAATCATTTGACTTGGCATAGCAAACATATTTTAAATTACATTTAAAACAAACGTAATTTTAATATATTGAATTATGATAGATTGTATTAGGGTGTATTAGGGGTATTTTGGTAGTTAAGTAATGTGTACTTAGTTAATTTTACAATTTAATTTAAATATTAAAGTGTACTTAGATCATAAGATGTACTCAGTTAATTTTAGAGTTCGTTTCAACAAAAAAAAAAAAAAAAAAAAAAAAAAAAAAAAAAAAAAAAGGCACAAAAATTTAGATCTAGGGTTAAACCCTTTGTGATTTAGCATTAAACCCTCCTTCTTCCTCTCTAAAAAAAACCCTAGAAATTCCGCAGTCCTTCCATTGAAGAATTAAGGGTCTCATCCCACCATTCTACACCGCCACGACAACTTGAGCAATTTTTTATCACTTGATTTTTAGTGCTCTAAACTCAGATTTTATGATAAATAATAAAAACCAAGTTCTGCAGAATTGACTCCAGCAATCGCGACACAAGACTTGCAATCATCACAGAAACGAAAAAAATCCCTTTAAAAATGGAAAAATAGTCATTGATTCATATACATACAAATATACATGAATATATATATATATATATATATGCTAATACTCCCACAATAGCCATAAGCTTAATTGGCAGCAAATGATTTTGTTTTTGTTTTTTCTTGTTGGACCAGCAATCACATGCGTTGATACATAATTGGACGCCCTGTTCAATTTCTAGGGTTTTTCAAGAGGTGAAAGAGGAAGGACCAAGGAGATGAGTTTAATGCTTTCAAAATCGAAAATATATTAAAATTTTGTTGGATATTGTGAGCCTAGTCAAAAATAATAAAATATTCCAACAGAAAAAGGAAAGTAATAAAATATATATAAGTGTATGACTAAATTTGATTGGATACGCTCTGGGTCCCACAGTACTTTTGAAGCAATTGTAGTCAACCAAAATTCGTAACTAAATCAGGATGGTTTATAAAAACAAATATCTGAAAACTACTCAACAACAACTTCCGAACTGCTAAAGTTGCTTTGATGGTAGTTCAAACTGGATAGGATTTATTCAATATAAATGAGTTTGCTATAAAATAAAAAAAACAGATGAAATTTAAACTGGACAAAGATAGGATTTAATATCGAACAAATTTATAGATATGAAGGACTTTGTACCTCAAATAGTTAAAGGAGTTACAAGTTTAAACATCTTATATCCATCGTTTTAGGGGCACGAATTATAAGAGAGCTTTTCGTTTTACAGCATTACCATTCCTCTGAAAATTAAACTCTTCTATATCCATTACTCTCTTTTTTTTTTCTTTTTGATTGGTATTAATAATCACACATATCTTTTAAATAAAAATTGAAATAAAATCCATCGAATAGGAGTGTGAATCCAGTTCTAAGTGTGATGCAGGACATCAGGTACTGTACTGGGATAAATGTAACACCATGCACATTGACAGGTGTTATAAGTTTACTTAAATTATTGTATGGATGTGAGACTGAAGTTGTATGATAAGTTTGCAAAAATTATTACAGGTGTATTAATATTAGGTCTTGGGACAAATATGGGCTTAGCCAAATTGGCTAGAGTAGGTGTGCTTTCCACTCTTTTCCCGAGTTCAAATCCCTCTCCCCATTTAGATTAATTTAGAATAGAATATTGCTTCTATAAAAAAAAAATATATATATATATATAAATTAGGTATTGAGGTTTCAATTCAGGGATAAAACTGTTTTTTAATTTTTAATACAAGCGATATGGGAGGGAGAATTTGAACACGGGACCTGAGGCATAGGGGTAATTGTTTACCCAAAATAAATAAATAAATGCTCCTAATGGTTTGAGTTACACAAGCTCCTTATTTTAGGGATTAGAGTTTAGATACTTTACGATAATATATGTCCGATGTTAATTTAATTAACAAATTACCCGTTTGCTTGTGTCTCAGGTTTCAAATTCCTTCGTTACTTCTTTTGCCAACCAAATACGCTAATAACAAGAGTTTCATTCCCGAATGAACTCTACTTTACTGTTATTTTATTCAAAATTATTCAAACAAAACCCATACACTCGAAGATTACAGCAGATTTTTTAGGGCGTTCCTCTAAACTGAACGGAACCTACTATCAGGTAAACTCTTCAAAACACTCCTTCCTTCGGATTTCAGAGTCCATAGTCCATAGTCCATGCATGGCTGAAGCAATTGACAATTTTTGTGCTTGATTTTGTGTTAATTTATAATGGAATTTGTCTGTTGATTTCTGTTCTACTTGTTTGATTGATTTCTCAGTTGTTTGGGCAACTTTGGTGGGTTTGTTATGGACGAACTAAAAGTGTACCAAAGGAGGGAGGAGCATGCTTCCAGAGGCAATGCCATGGAAGAAAAACAAGTTCAGAAACAGAATTTTTTGTTCCCACCCACGCCTGTAAAGCCCATTACACGAAGGTCACAAAAAACCTATGCTAGAAGAAGGTTGAAGAAAAATTTGAGCCACAATGGTTTATTGATCACTGATTCCCAGTTGGACCTGGAGGATTCTAATGGGGTTTCTTTGTTTTCTGCTGCTCCAAGTTCTTCAGAGGAAAACAAGGGACTGAGTAACCCAATTGCAGCTTTGCCCACAAAGGGAAAGGTACATAATTGCAGTGGAATTACAGACACAAATTTGGGTTATGTTGACTTCTTTGATTTGAATAAGATTGTCTTGGAGTCTGATGACACAAATTATGCTTATATGGACTCTGAGAAAACAAGCAAAGGTTTTCTGGAAGCAGAATTGGCAGTAGAACACGTTGCAAAGAATGATAATGAAGTTTTGACAATGTGCGAGGAACAGCTCTTTCAAGGGAGCAGTGTAACTTCTCCAACTCCTCAGTCATCTCCCAGTGCAACAAATAGGAGCTCCTTTGACAGGATGAGCACTTGTTTCTCTCAAGTTGTGCAATCTCATATTGATGCAGAAAAGCCAAAGGAGCCAATTGGAGATATGTTGCCTAGTGTAGAGCTGTGGCTTGGTCCTGCTGCCATCCCAGATTCCATGTCACAATGCAAATCCGGTAAGGATTCTCTTGAAGCGGATTTATTTTATTTCATTTAAGCAGATTTTAATGGTTGATTTTTCTTGATTATTCTCGACTGTGTGGTGAATCTCTTGAATTGGATTTATTTGTTTTCAAAATCTAGAGATTTTCTTGAAAGAGTAAGTCTTCTCCCTTCAAGAATACTTAATAAAAAATGAACAATTGGGTTGTGTTTATTAAGCTCTTAAGATTTCAATTTTGAGGAAGGATGGAAAAAGAGGAGAAAAACAAAGGAGAGGATCCTCTTCGTTCATCTAATTCCGCTTATGGATTGAAAATTTGTCTATTCAGCCAAAAAGAAAATCAATTGAGGAATAGAATTTATAATGTTAACATGAATTTTACAAGCCCACCTTACTGATTTTGGCACCACTTGTGGGTATTGGAATGCATTCATTTAACCTGTATCGGAGTAATATCTATTACGGTTTCAGATGTTCTCACATTCTTATGTACTTTCAGTTCTTACTGATAGTACTGGTAGCTTTCATATTCTGAGATAGGTTATTTGACTGCAGATGATCAACAAAATCAGAAAAATGTTAAGCAAGAGAATCATACAAAGATTGACGATTGCAAGTTCAATGCTGCAAACTGTATTGGTGGCTCAGCATTGCCTACCACTTCAAGCCTATCAGGTAAAAAGAATAACTTGAAAAGAAGACCAGAGGGTGGAAAATATTTGAAGGAAAGGCCACAGAAGAGACGAAAGAAGAGAGGATATAGGCCGAGAGTGGTTGGTGTTGGAAAGCCTAGAAGGACTCTGGAGCCTAAGACACCACAGAAAGCAACACCAAAACCAAAGACACCAAAGCCTAATCGAATTCCTGCTTCTTCCAAGAAAAATATGTCAGTAAAGAAGTCTTCAGGCAACCTCAAAAACTTGGTACCCATAGAAGTCTCTGTGGATGAAGTTGACCTTTCTGTATCAGACAGAGCTACTCTAAACATTGACCTTCAAAATCAATCAAATGATGTAAGTGCCATCATATTAGCCACCCCACCTCGAAAAGCTAGAATTGGTAGCCAAAAAGCTAAGGATAGCTCCCTTGATTCAGAAGGCAGCGGCTATTTTGCAGCAGTTGATGAAGCAGAGAAGTTGGTGGGAAACTGCATCAACCAGAATGATTGGCAATACAACGCATTTCAAGTTGACCAAACAACTTTCCTAGTAAATCAATGCCTCAACTCTAGCAGAAAACTTGGTCTGAATTTTCCTAAGATATGCAGGAAACAAAGGATGAGGAGGAGGAGATGGAACGTAGACAGGTGGTCAGTATTAGCAAGTAAGTTTCATGAGAATGCAAGCCATGTTACCCTGAGAGGTACTAACAAGAAATCAGTCCCGAAAAAGAGTCAAAAAGAAGTGTTCAATATGGTTGGCTACAAAAACCATGGAAGGCTGCGATACCAAACAACAGAAATCATAGATTTAACTGATGGACTGCAGTCACTAATTAAGACAAAGAAAAAGAGATCAAAGGGGCGTACTGTGGTGAACTTTGCTGGTCTAACTGCAACTCCAATTTGCAACCTGTTGCCCAGAGCCCTTCTCAGAGAAAGAGTTAGTGAAAGGCAAGAAACTGAGACTTTTCAGAGGCTGGATGCTAATAAAGCCGTGTTATTTGCAAATAAAAAGGGAGGGGCGGTGACAGATAAATGGACTGACATGGGACATTCCCTTGTCAATTTAGAGCTTCACAAAGGTGAAAGAGAAAGAAATCCATCGGAGCATGAGGGTCCTTGCTTCACCAACTTAAGACGTAATTATGTTTGGCATAAAGCTCTTTCTTTTTCCTTTTTCTTTTCTCTGCTTTTTTTCTTTCCTTTTTTATTTTAATTTTTAAAGCAGAAGATCTCACTTCAAATTCAGGTATTATTTACTTCAGGAAGCTTACAACTTTCACTTATTTGCAGAACATGAATGCAAAGAAGGGGCAGCAGAAGAGAGGTTGACTAAGATGGTACCCTCCCTTCTTAATTTAGAGTTTTGTAATGATAAAACTGACAGAAGCCTACTGCAAAATGAGACAATGCAGCTGACTGACAAATCAATAGGTACTTGGTAGAGATTATTTTTGTTTTCTAGAAGCATATGCTACAGAAGCAAATTCAAGAAGCACACTGCACTTTAATCCATTTTTTAAGCTTCTATTTTGCATTCCATGCAGATTCACCAGAAGACAGTATCAGTCCACTTGTACAGAAATGTCCACATGTGAGCCATAGAGGTAACCATGACCAAGATGCACACGTTGCAAGGAACGACCAGGGAATACTAGTTCCTTATCAAGGACAACGAGATCAGGGTACAAATAGTCCTCATGGTCAGCTTGGGATGTTAGCTGCATACAAGGGAAAGAACAACAAAAGGCTTGCAGAGCTTTCTGACACAGAATATGAACTAGCTTTGACATGGAAGGTTCAAATGAAAGATAAGGTTAATGAGGATCAAAGGAAAGAAGGTGATGAGGATTGGTGGAGGAATGAAAGAGAAGTCTTTCATGGACGGATTAATCTACTTATATCTCGGATGCACATAATCCAGGGTACAAGCCCAGCTAATAATTGTTGAAAATGTTACAGAGAATTATATGCAAATTTCCTAACAGTAAAATTATTTTCTGAGCAGGAGATAGGAAATTTTCACCTTGGAAAGGTTCTGTGGTGGACTCAGTAGTTGGGGTTTTCCTAACTCAGAATGTGTCAGATCATCTTTCAAGGTAACTTCACATTTGATAAACTAGAATTTGTCAAAGATTTTTCTGTTGGAGGTTCATAATGAGACTTTTAACTTCATATTCTCTTCTACAGCTCTGCCTTCATGTCACTTGCCGCCAGATTCCCCTGTCAGTCTACTACCAACAAAACAGATGGTAAAGACATAAACTTGGTAGGCAACCAAGAATCAATTGGGAGTAGCATCGTTTCTATCATGCCAGTATCTGATGAGGAGTTGCTCACATGTGAAGCTGCAGAGTGTGGAAATAAGGAGTCAAGCTCTGACGAATCTAATGACTTTGAAGGGGCGTCAAGGTCTCGGTGTGATTCCTACAAGCCTCCAGAGGTTTCCCAAATCCATTTCAATGAAAAGGTAGATCATGTGGAAATCTTGGAGGACAGTTTAGTGTCCTATAATCCCCAAGTTCAGCAGAAACTTTCAACAGAAGTTGGTTTTCATGCATCAGAGGGGATGTCTAGTCTGCCACCAGAATGTAGCTCACCAAAGAAGGATGAGATGGCTGCACTCTATTATGTCAATATGCCACTTGATAAGCCTGAGAGCACAACTGTTACTACTATGATCCAAAATCCGAAAATTTGCTCGCAGCCACCTAATGATGCCAACAGCTTCAACCAGAAAGAACTGAAGGGAAACAAACTGAATTTAAAACAGCAACAGTCAGACATGAAATCTGGCGAGACAAAGAAAGCTACTCGAAGAGCAAAAAAAGAGAAGGCTATAATGCAGGCCAAAACTGATTGGGAGTTTTGCAGAAGCATCTATGGTGGTCCCAGTGGAGAAAGAAATAGAAATCACATAGACTCGGTAGACTGGGAGGCAGTTAGACACGCAGAAGTTGGTGAGATTGCTCATGCTATCCAAGTGCGTGGCCAACAAAATATAATTGCTGAAAGAGTCAAGGTAAATCAAATTATTCCTCTTCCAAAATAGGATTGTATAGTTTATTTTATTTTTGAACAACTTTGGAAGTTACCTATTTTACTCGCTGTTGCAGAAGTTCCTTAACCAAGTATATCAAGACCATAAACAAATAGACCTCGAGTGGTTGAGGAATGCACCACCTGCGCTAGTGACGTAAGCATACATTAACAATACAAGCATGCTAAAATCTTTCTGTTAGTTCATTCTAGTTATGTGTATTTGTCAAAGTTTGATCATTCAACCATCTGTAATTGTAGGAAATACTTGAGAGACATTAAGGGTCTTGGCTTGAAAAGTGTGGAGTGCGTGCGGCTTTTGACACTCCAGCATGTAGCTTTCCCGGTATGATTTTAATGGGCATATTGTTTAGGTGGATGTAATTTGTAAATGTTTTATTCAAAAATGCATTCTTTTCTTGTAATAGGTGGACGTAAACGTTGGCCGGATAGCGATTCGTCTAGGATGGGTTCCTCTTCAACCATTACCTGAATCGCTTCAGATACATCTATTAAAAGAGTAAGTACAAAATATATTAACAAGACATATCACTTGTATTTCCAATGACATTATAAATTTTCTATGTGTAGGATGCCTGTGTTCGATTCAGTTCAGCAGTATCTTTGGCCTCGACTAGAAACCTTGGATCCGTTAACATTGTAATCCCAAAATTTTCCCTTTAAGATTATTTTTATCTTGTGAAATCACCTTTAATAAATTAAGAATTGTACTCATTTTAGTATATTATTTTCAACAGGTATGAACTGCATTATCAGATGATAACCTTTGGAAAGGTATATCTCTTCAGAGCATATATTTGCAAAAATGTGTCCTCAAAATTGGTTAGACGAAGATTCTAAATTTTTATTTTAATATTTATGCAGGTTTATTGCACAAAGAAAAATCCAAATTGCAATTCTTGTCCTATGAGGGGAGAGTGCAGACACTATGCTAGTGCATTTGCCAGGTTTTTCTCAAATTTGAAAATGATATCACAACACATGATGTGATTCAGGATATCACTTCACTAAGCATTTGAAAATGGAAATTTGGATGTTGCATCACAAACTACGGAAACTAAGAAACATAATGAGACACTACTTGTAAGTTGTAACTCTTAATCTCACTAGGTATGATATGTATCTACATGTTTGATGCAGTGCAAGGCTTGCCTTACCAGGGACGGGAAAGAAGGCGAGGCAAACAAAGAAAGGTAGTTCTACTGCTCCTCCAATTGTGGGTTTTGAGGCACTCAATTCAATATCACTATCCTTTCTTGAGGCCAACCGTGAATCAGAATACCAAACCAAAAGTTGTGAACCTATCATTGAGGAACCATCATCACCACAACCT